GAGAGAGAGAGTGTCTATGCGCGCGCCTGCCGCCCCTCCTCTCCTCTTCGCGGGACTCTCGCGCGAGCTCAGCCTCGCCAGAGCCCGGCCGCCATCACGGCCTGCCACGGCGCTGACGCTGCGGAGGTAGGAGGGTGGTAGCGCGCACGCGCGGGAAGGGAGGGGGTTGTTGAGGCCGCACGCATGCGCAAAAGGAGCGAAACCGGGGAGGAGAATGGATGTGAGTCCGCATGCGCTTGTGGAAAGACAGGGGGCTTGAGGACGGGGGCGCATGCGCAACAGGAGCAAGGCCGGGCAGGGAGGGGGTTGGGTGAGAGTCCGCATGAGCGAGGGGAGGGAGGCGGAGGCGTTGAGAGCGTGTGCGCATGCGCGAGGGGAGCGAGGCAGGGAACGCAGTTGTGTGGGCGTGCGCGTGAGCGATGGGAAAAGATGGGGGATCGAAGCCGCGTGTGCATGCGCGAGAGTAACTCCGGGGGGTGGTGGCTAAGGAGATGGGACGTCAGAAAGTAGTCCCTTGATTGGGACAGATGGGGAACTGCGGAAGGGGACTATATGGGGATAAAATCGGTTTGGAGCCTGAGGAGCGATCTTGTAGGGGGCGGGGCGGGAGGGCTGTGCTTTGTGACAGGTGTGGGGGTCGGGGCGTCTCCGGTGCTGCCCAGAGCTCTTGACAGCCATGCGGGATGCCCCTGCAGTGTACACCTCACTCTTCCTTTCAAGGAGAGATATGGGATGCTGCGGCCTTCTCTTGCAGGGTGGCAGAGCTCCAGCCGCCAGGGGCTGCTTGAGGCTGGGGCAGTGGGACCCAGAGGGTGTGAGGTGCATGTGCCAGTGTTGTCAGGTGTATGACAATTACTGTATTTGTACAATAATTTCAACCCTTGTATAATGTACAATCAGCAATAGTAAGAGTGTTTACAATATACAGTTATTTTTTTGAGGCAGCTAAGTGATGCAGCACATGTAAAAACCTAACTTGCTTGCAGAGAGCCTTAACTGACTTTTCTGGTGGGGAAGAGTTTGAAATTTGGTCATATTCCAGGTCAAATCAGTTCTAAATCCTTTCAGTTGAACAACTCAATTGTGGTGCTACAACAAGAAACATCCTCCCCCCCAGACTTCAGCCTGGGGATTCAGATACTCCCAAGTCCATTGGCGGGCATCCTGCATACAAGCCCAGAGGCTTGGGGTTTCCGAGTCTCACTTGCCATTAGCCAACAGCCACAGGAGCAAGGTAGAAAGGAGTTCCCTACTTCCATAAACTAAGCAGGTAGCTGAGATCCCCCCACAGGAAGCTGGCCACTGGTAAGCTGATTACAAGACTCTTGTAGGGTGTCCTGTCTGTAGTGCATTGGACAGGGGTGCACCTTCTGCTGCACAATGCCATTCATATCCATCTCATCTGGGGAACAGACCTTGATCTTAGCCCACAAACTGACTTTTGGGTTTGCTGTCAACACCTTATGACTGTTTGCTTCAAAACTACAGAAAAAAAGAGAAAAAAAAGCTTCAATTCTAATGATCCAGTTCTCACCCATTCGCTGGCAGCTTGCAGTGAGCAATATACAGTAAATAAAAAGCTTTATTTGCATCTTTCTTTGCATTGTTAGTTGCATATTTTCACTGTATGATAGAGTTTTTCAGCAAATACAATAATTTTGAGCTTCCAGTACAATCATTTCATATTTAAGACCTGGCAATGCTGGCATGCGCACATGCACGTGGCAGCCAGGCAGTGTGGTAGAAAGCAGCTACTTCCAGGTAAATCTGTGGAGGAAGGGGGCACAGGTAATGTGGCAGGAGGGGCACATGCCCCCTCCAGATTTCTGCACTCACAGTGAGGTGTGGGATGCAGGGTTGTAGCTGGGCCGAGCCAACTTGAGGCAGAAGCCACAGTTGCGGCCCAGCAGGCAGGACCCAGTGTGGGAGGGAGTGCCATACCGCCAGGCTGCCAAAGTGAGGCACCTCCTGCCTGCCTAGCAGCAATGGGGGCACAAATCCATGCCATGCCTCACCTTGGCAGCCACAGTGGCATAGCACTGTCTCCCATGCCAGGCCCTGCCCACCAGGACGCAGAGGCAGTTCCTGGTCAGAGCTGGTCCAGCCAGGCTGCAACCCTGCACCCTATACCTCACTATGGGCACAAATGTAAGGGCACACATGCCCCCGTTGCCCCCCCCCCCCACAACTGATGCGTCACCTGTGCCCATACACCCACCACCTTGCTCACACTGGGGGGCTGGGACCTGGGTTGGGGGGCAGTGTGTCAGGAGTGAGGGGCAATGGCATGGGTAGGGGATCACCATATCGGGTGCTTGGCACCACCAAGCAGCAGGGTGGAGAGCCGCAGCTGGACCCACACCCTAGTGAGTGAAAGTGCAGGGGGAACTCTGATTTTCTATGATTTAAAAAAAAAAAACAACCTCCCACATGCCAAAATATATAGGTATTTAGAATTTATTTTAGTATAAATGACTGAGGCACTGGTAGGCTTCCAAACTGCTTTAAAATTGTAAATATATCAAAGCAGTGTGTTCAGCTGATACCCATAAAGTTTTGGTTGCGTAAAAATACAGATGGGGGGGCGGGGGTTTAAAACCAGAGAATCTGGAATTTTTAAAACAGAGAAACCAGGATCCCCAATGATGATGCACCTCACCACCCACATGCCCCTTCCCTCCTGCCCCCTAGAATGGTACAGCTGTGCTCCCAGCTGTGCCCCTTATTTATTCCAGTGTGTACAGGATAAACATTTGCCTGAGGCCCCGTATTAGCATATCCCTTCCTTCAAAGTTGAGGGCTGATCCTGCAAGCCAAGAAATACCATAAAAAGAGTTTTTTACCCTGTGCATTAATCATTTCTTTAAAAAATATTAAGCCTTTCTAGTGATCATGCAAGAACAACATGGAAATACCATCTATATATTTTCTGGCTGTGTAGTGATGCAACTGATGAGTGAAGTGAAAGAATGATTATAGGGGTGTGTGGTACAAATGGTGATTTAAAGCCTAAGAAATTTTCCAGTTTCCAAATCATTTTAAAATACTTACCCCAATCCTAACCTATGCTATCTGAGCCATATATTATGTCACTGATTTTACTTTTGCTCTCCATCTTTTTATTGATTCTTTGTTCTTGGCATTCATCTTTTTAATTTTCCAATATATCCACCCACTTTTTAATATTTTTCAAACCATCTATCTTGAAATACAAACTCAAGGAAGTTCTTTGCTGGTTTTTAACTCACCCAGTTTTCTAGTTAGGCTGACAAGCCTAAGATTATTTAAACTTGTCCTTTCACCAATGCAAACGCAGGATCCTTAACTCGTCCTCTTTTGTTCTAACCCTCATATTATATGGCTTGTGTATCTATATAAATATCTCTTTCCACTTATCATTTAACTGACCTTTCGTTATCTTTCCTCTTGCAAGAGTCTTATGATCAAAAGGAAGTTTTATTCTCTTTTGAAGACATTCACATAATGCCCTTTATCTTTAATGGAAGTAACCAGTTACAGTTAGGATTGGGCTCCCCTCACTTCCCTCTATTTTTGCCTTGTATTTCTGATGAGTGTGAGGGGAGACGTGAAGCTCTTGTTCTGATAAAATGAAATGTGATTTGTGTCTTTGGTAATTGAAATGTAATAGATTAATTGCATTAAAAAGTTCAACCTAACCCAATTCTTAGCTTATACTCTTCTGGTTTCTTTCTTATCACATTAGAAAGTCAGCACATTTCCTTTCCATCACCATTTCCATCTGTACTTGTCTTCCTATGCTGTCCAAAAATCTATTAAGTTAGGACTCTCCCTGAATACAAATTCAGTTTTAGAGTTGCATACCTTCCATCTTTAGCTTTAAGATACCATGAATGCTTTATACTGTTTTACTTATTACTTCCATATACCTTGAAAGGCAAATTAAATCTCTCTCTCTTACTGTACTTTGCCAGGGAAATTAATGTTGTGGCTCACACATTCAAACAGCATCTCCCACTTTTTTTTAAATTTACATTCCTTCATATAATTTTGGTCTTTGGGTGTAGACTGCTGTAAGAAATTACTGAACTTTTTCTAGAAGCAGGTAGTTGAAATAATAGAAGAAGTCACAAAACCAAAAATGAAGACGTGTCTGTCAAAACAATAGCAAATGAAAGGTTGTCAAGAAATTTGAATTGAATTTTGTTGATTTAAATTGCTTGAATCTTGTTTTGAGTGTGTATGCGAAACTCCATTTGAGAAGCACAGGCACAGAAACAGAGAAAGGTCCAATAGCTTGACCTGAGGAAATGTAAGATCTTGCAGATATAATAATCAGCTGAATGCAGTCAAGCTGATGAGAAAGAACAGAAATAACATTCACTTTGGGCTTGTTCTGCAGTAGCTCCTAGTGAAGCGGTGGGCAAAATGTGGCCTGGGGGCCGGATGTGGCCCGCCAGGCCATTCTATCCGGCCTGCGGAGCCCCCCACTAAAAAATTTAGAAAATTAATATTTATCTGCCCCTGGCTGCCTATCACGTGGTCTTCGATGGCTTGCCAAAACTCAGGAAGCAGCCCTCCACCCAAAATAATTGCCCATCTCTGTCCTAGTGGATCCTTCAAAACCTTCATAAATCTTCTGAACCCCAGTAAGTAACCTGATCCAAAGACTGCATTCCTATAAATCAGGTGGTGTCAAACATCTGGCCCATGGAGCCATATGACCTGTGGATCACTTGATGCACAACACAAGGGTCAAGTACAGGGCATGTGTTGCATGTGGCACTGGCTCTAGGGCTGGTCCAGATCAGGTCATGCCAGAACAATGTGAAAGGCTGGTCTAGTGGGGTACTGCATGCAGTGCACACCCTGTGACTGCATACAGTGCACACGAGCAGTGCATCCCCGCACACCATGCACTGGTCTCGGGGCTTACTCAGTACGTGGCAGTGGGCCTGGCATAGGGCATGCGCTGCAGGCTGGACCTGGTGCTGCACATGGCACAGGGACCCAGGGCACAAGCTGCATGCAGCACCCCAGACCAATCCCCTGTGTTGCTTGCAGCACCATTTCCTACCTGTTCACTGTGGGCAGCACATGTCCTGGGCTGGCCCTGTGTGATTTGTACACAAGCCCTGGGGTCAGCACGTGCAGTGCAGAGTTGGACCTAGTACTACAGGTGCTCCACAGCAGGTTGGTCTCAGCCTGGCCCACAGACTGGCTCAGAGACCTAGGGGGCCAGATGAGTTTGAACCCCCTGCCATAAAGAAGGGTCATCAGTTATTTTTCCTGTCTTTAGACACGTAGCTTCAGATAGAATACCCATTGAAGGAATTCCCCTTTATACACCCCCCCCCCAAAAGCCTGTTAGGCTTCTTTTAACCGCAGGGCCTCAAAAAAAGCATAACATACAGCAAGTGTATGGTTATCAGGAAAATCTTATTTAGCCCTTGTCACAGTTCAAAATAAGAGCTATTCATAATTCTACTACTGTCCAAAAGAAGCAGAAACAGACCTGAAAACCAAGTACTAGATTGAAACAATCATTAAAAAAAAAAAGGAAACTCCCAATGCTATAGCTAAGAGGGCAAATGGGATCAATGAATATCTTGGTCATGTCTTGTTGTATGAAATTAGTGAAATCATTACTGGAATACCATGGCAAAGTATAGTGTCCAAATTTCAAAAACGCTGGTGACAATAAGAAACAAGCTACAAAAATATTTCAAGGTCTGGCAATAGGCATTACATACAGTGAGACTAAAGCAGGTGGGTACTTAGTTGATCCTTGAGAAGGTCAAGAGGTGACTTGATTGGTTTAAGTACTTATTTAAGCACTACTTAGGGGAAGATATTTCTGACAGAAGGCAACTCTTTAGCAGAAAGACAACATCCAGTGGTTAGAAGCACAGGCTTGACAAATTCAAATTAGAAACTTAATCATCAATTTTACCTGGGAGTAATTAAGCATCTGAACATTTAGCTACAGTTGTAGTGAATTCTTCCTTACTTGAAGGTTTTAAATTGCAACTGCATATTATATGTTATAGCATATAAGTTATACCCTTGATGACCGTTTTACAAATGAGGTATTCTGTTCCTGTTATGCAGATCGGACTAGGGACCATTATGATCCACATCTTGCTTTAAAACTTAAGTCTCATGAAAAAGAGATTTCTCTCTTCTCCAAAAACAATTAACAGCCTGTCAGTACACAAACAGCCAGCAAAATTATAAATCAGCCCAAGTATTTATATAGATACTTGGTTTCAACAATAAAAAAGTAATTTGCTATAGATTCTCACTTCAAAATTTTAGTGTTCCGGTGAAATTACTGCTTTAAAATTCATACTTGGAATGTTGGCAGGCAAGCTTCTTTGGCTAGATGTGATATCTTTTATTAGAGCAACTGAGTAGTTAGAAAAAACGTAATTGCAAGCTTTTGGGCACAAACACCCTTCTTGAGCCATGCAGAGTCTCTGCTGTTCTTAGACTCTAAGGAATGAAAAGCTAAGTGTGACAGGATGTCAGTGAGAATGTAAATAGGTGGAAATTAGGAAAACAAAGGGTAGAGCAGGGAAGGGAGGACAGGGAAACAAAGGTGGAAATAATACCAAAGGTAAATAAGGGAGACTCTACTGTAGTTGAGCTCTCCAAGGTAGAAAAGAGAAAGTCTGTGAAAAAAGTAAATAGCTAGAAATTAGGAAGACAAAGGATAGAAAAGCAGGGGAGGGAAGGAAGGAGGGGAAAAAGAAAAAGGTGTAAATGGTAAGGTCAGGCAGGTACCTAGTGAATCAGATGTCAGGCAGGTTGTAATGTGTCATAAATCCAATGTCTAAATTGAGTCCATAATTTTTTGTATCCAGTAGACTTATGAAGTGTCTACGAAAAATTGTCTACGAAAGGTGTTTTGTAAATTCCCTTGGATTTTGTATTTTTGCAAAGAGCTCTCTGAAGGCTGGCAGAGTTGCAGCCTGCAAGGGGCTGGGAGGAATGGGAGGAAGGTGGTCAGTCAGGGGGCACAATATGCATGTACATGCACATGGCCACTAGGCAGCATGGAGAGCAGCTCCTGCAGGTAAGGGGGGGAGGGGTGTGGAAATTGAGGCCCCCATAGGGAGAGGAGGAGTGAGTTGGGCAGGGCAGAGTGAGTTGCTGCCCAGCCAGGGGGTGAAAGGGGCCCAGAGCTGGAATGTGCGGCTGCAGGGCCCTGGCAAGGAGCAAGAGGGGACTATGGGCAGCTCGTCTGCAGGGTGGGGCTGGCTTCCCACCACTGCACACTCTTCCATGGGGGGCTGAGGGGTCCCATGCACCCGATCTGTGCGTGGGACAGGTGCCGGCTGCCTGCTGCAGGCTCAGGCTGCCGATCCTGCTGTCCTCCCCTGGGGTCTCCACAGCCCAGTGGGTAGGATACGCTGCTGCAGGGCAAAGCTCCACACTGCCCTGGCAAGGCATCCCCTACCTATGCCACTGCCCCCGCTGCTGCTCCTACAGAAGGCAGAGTGCCTCTGCCCACCACACAAACTGGGGGGGCACGTGTTCCCTATGCCTCCCCCTGGGGTGTGCAGTGGCAGGGAGCTGTGCCCCCCACACCTCTGGATAAGTTGCCCACACCTCCATCCTATGACCAGCCCTAGCCCCCCATTCACCCCTGCCTTGCTCTCTCCCTCACCATGGGGGCCCTTGCTCTGCCCCTCCCCCTCCACAGACTTACTGGCACAATGCTGCTCTACCTGCAGCATGCAGACTGCATGCAGCTGATCATTTTAATCTGTGTGCGCGCACCCACCCTCCCATTGCAGCTGCCTGGAGCCTGTACCTGGGCTGTCCCAGTCCTCTGTGCTGCCAGTGCTGCCCCACCTGGAGGCAGTGGAGCAGAGATTGGGCATGGGCTCCAGAAACATGTTTTTTTAAACACGATTAACATGTTAAAAAAATAACACAAGATCCAATTAACACATTAATTGCACACACTAACTGCAATTGACAGCCCTTTTAAATCCCAAAATCAAATACCAAGATTTAGAATTGATGTTATTAGAGTGATTAAGGCAGTGGTAGGCTTCCAAATTGCTTTAAAATTGTAAATATGTCCAGAAAAAAGTGTGTTCAACTGACACCTACCTATATAGTGGCCTTTTACTTTAATTACCAATTTGGGGGGTTTTAATCAAAGAATTTGCAATTTTTTATCAGGGAAAACCAGGCTCCCTGATGAGCTATTTCTCTGATGCCTTTCATATGGGGGTTGGGTGCCAAACCCAGTAATGTCACTTTCTGCCTGCATGTCTGGGAGTGGCAATTATTTTTGCTACAGGGACACAACAGCAAGAGGTATTTAGTAGTTCTTCCCATTCCCTTTTCTCTAAGTATGCACCCTTTAGTTCCTTGGCTAGACCACATCCAAAATCATAAAGACAGCATAACAATCTATACCAGGGGTAGGCAACCCCTGGCACAGGTGCCAAAGCATGGCCCGTGAAGACATTTTGCTTGACACGCATGCCTCAGGGTGGATGGTGGAGAAAAGGGTCTCCACAAGGATTGGGCCCTTTGCAGCTCCCGTTGCCCAACCTGGCATACAAGTTCTTGCAAGTTGAGGGCGTGGGTGTTTTTGGCATTCTGCCCTAAAATGTTGCTGACCCCATCTAGTGAAAAAAGCAACATAAATTGATACAACGTAACATGGGCTTTTCAAGGAGACCACACACCCCATCAGTGAAATAAGCACAGTAAAACACGATGCCCCATATATCGTAGTGGGGTTTGTATCATGGCAGTATAGCATTTCTGTGATGGTGGATGTTGTGTGCACACAAACAGAAACAGTTGATAATGGAAGTAACATGCTAAAGGTAAGGAAGCAACTAGAGGAGTTAGAGGATCAGTATCCAAGGTGAAATGGCTGGCTAAAATGGTAGGTGTGCAGCTACTTATTTGCATTACTTCTCTACATTAGAGCTCTGCAAAGTGAAAAAAATACAAGGATTTCCACATATTGGTAACTGAACCCTCATCCTACCTCCTGAATCATCTTGACTTAGCACAGAAGTTAGTGTATGCCCATAAATCCACCTTGCTGAAAGATTTCTAAAAGGTTTGATGCATCTGCCAAAGATTGTTTGGAATACAGACATCAGTCCTACAATAGTATAGAGTGATGCAAAGAAGGTAATAATATAGGAACTAGTTCTCATCACAAATGTGCTTTATTCATTTTCAAAATACCACATGAAAATGAACTTCATACAGCATAGTAAGTTAACAAGCCAGCTGACTTTTTTTTGCTGGATCTAGGATAAAAAACAAACTGTGAAACAACAAAACTGCAACTTTAGGGCATACCAAAAACTAACAGTCTTTCTTTTTGGAATGGGACAGCATGGAAAAGTGGTCTTCTTTTTTAAGTAAACATTTGTTTCTAAAGACTTTACCTGAGCAGATTTCTGTTGCACTGTCAATGTGAGCTCCAGAGCACAGCTTTAAATCAGGATACAGACACACACAATATTTACATGCAGCACAGGGGGAGGAAGCTGATGTTCAGCAAGCAGAAGAAGCTCTTTATTTGTAAAACAACTGAAAGCATTAAGTTAGCAGCTTCGTAGCTGGTCAGCCCTAGTAAAAATCACAGATTTTAAAAAAAACAAACAAACTCCTCTCTTCCACATCTCCAGGGATCATAATGTCAACATTCATTGTGAAAAATACAAGTATTGAATTTTGTTAGAAGACATGCACTGAGCAGACCTGTCAGTTATATCGAGTCATTATTAGACAATGCAGTGGCAACATTCTTTATAAACCAAGATTTATTTGCCTCTTGTTTGATGATTAGTACACAGACACACTATGAACAATTTGTACAATTTTGTATTCTTGTAGATTTTAAATCTAAAAACCACAACATTTCCATTTTTCTAAACTTTGTCCAGTGACTTTTCAGCTTAACCTTTGAAGATGACCTGTCCCTTAGAAGTGGACACAAAGTACCAGCATCTCAAACACTGCCATATGAAGTTGTTAGAAGTCTGCTAAGCAGAAAGTTCCTATTCAGTGTTTAATGACACACTCACTACACACCCAGTACAGATTTCCAATGTTTCACAGCACAGTTACAAGTTTGTTGAAAAAAATAAAACTACTACTACCAAAAATAAATTTTGTCACAGATAATACACAATTCTGAAAGGGAGATCCAACACCAGGGAGCAGTTTTATTAGGTAAGTAATTCTACTGATGATACAGTGGGTATAGATGATATGTAATTAAAATGGTAAGACATTTTCAACCCATTATGATTCCAAAATTTAATCTGTGTTATGCTTCATTTAATAGGATATAAAAACTGTCCCTCACAGCTCATGGAATGTTAAGTCTAATCAAGACTTCAAAGCCTCCCCCTAATCTCACATTCCATTAATTTCTGGTTGCACAGAAAACAGACAACCGGTACATGATTTTACCTCTTAAAAAAAGCATTTACACTTATCTAAATATGTAAAAAAATGGGATGTGTTGGGATTCCTCTTCTTTAAAAATGTGTTTTCTAGAACTACTAAAAAACTTGCATTTACAAAATAGTTGATAAAAATATTCCTCTGAATTGTACAAGAAGGAAAATACAGGGACCACCAATAAAAGACTTGGTACAAGATATTACTCAGACTTGGGTTCTTTTTCTCCTGCTGCATCAGATACTGGGGCCTGAAAAAGAGGAAGGGAAAAAGAAAAATCTTAGTTTTACAATGTCTTCAAAACCTCAACATCTTTATACCAAAGATCCAAAATGAAAATTATAAACAGGCTCTTTTAAAACCATCATAACATATATTTCTAGTACATGATGGTTGTTACTCCATATCTAGTCACACATTTTGAGCCATGATCTTATTGGGCAATTAAAGATACTCATCTCACAACCTACTCATTTGTTTTTGACAATGTTCTATCCAAACAATTCAACCTCTGGAGAAATGGTACCTGGCTTGTTCTAAAACAGAATGGCATTAGTTCAGCTCCACTGGTCTCAATTCTGGGATCCGTGCTTAAACTTAAAGGGGAACTAAAACACCTGTTTTGGTAACTGCTGTCCTTGAAGCCCAAAGTTTCAAGAATGAAGGACTTAATGTTTTCCTACTAGGTAAGCTAAAGCCTCCACAGAGAGTGTGTCATCTCATTTTAGAAACAATCTGACTCTGAACAAGATTAATAGTATCTCCTATAAAGCATTACAGTATTTCCCCTTTCCGTGACGGAAAGCTGTGTGAGAAGCTCTCCCCTGAGCAAAGTGCATTGTGAGCACTGTAGTCTATCTGGGGATTTCAGGCCAACTGAGGACACTAAACTTCCACCAGACAACCTTCCAATTTGGGGCTAATATTTTTCATTTTTGAGTTGTCAGTGAACGTAAGAACTGACATTTACTGAGTTAGACTCTAGGTCCATCTTGCCCAGTATCCCACACCACACAATGGGAGAGTAGATACTGAAAGGGAGAGTAAACAGGTTATGACCAGAGGAGTTTTTCCACTGTTCCTCTCTCACTTGCAGCCTCCAGCATTTAAGATCTAGGAAGTTCTGAGGCTGTACCCCTAACTGTCATGCTCAACAGCTACTGATGCCCCTCGTCCAAAACAATGTGTACAATCCCTTTTTGAATCTAGTTAAACGGTCAGCTTCCACGACATCTTGGGGCAATGATTTTCACACTTTAATTACATGCTATGTGAAAAAGTCCCTTTCATTCATTTTAAAGCTACCTTCTAGTTTAATTTTATGATCCCTAGTCCTTGCATTGAGAGAGACAGTAAATAATAAATCCCAACCTAATTTTTATTCACCTGCTAGTATTTTGTAAACTCCTGTTGTATTCCCCCACAAGCATCTCTTCTGTAAACTGAATAGGCCTAGCCTCTTCAGTCTTTCCTCATATGACTCATACCACTAAATCATCCTTGTTGCCATTCTCTGTACCTTCTCTATTTCTTTTATATCCTTTTTGAGGTGTGGGGACCAGAAATGGGCACAGTATTCGAGGTATGGATGCACCATGGATTTATAAACAGGGCATAATGACACTTTCTATTTTGGTCACAATTCCCTTAATAATATAATATTTAACATTTTGTTTGCCTTTTTGATGGCTGTTAAGCCCTAAGCTGAAGTTTTTAGTGAGCTGTCCACAATGACTCCCAGATCTCTCTCCTGTGTGGTAACAGCTAATGTTGAGCCCATCATAGTGTAGGTATAGCTTGGGCTATTTTTACACATGCACATCACTTTATACTTATCCACATTTAATTTAATTTGCCCTTTAGTTGCCCATTCACTGAACAGTATCAAACCCTTCTGTAGTTCCTCACAGTCCACCTTGGTCTTCACCACTTGAAGTAATGTTGTCACCTGCAAACTTAGCTACCTTACTATACTCATCCCCTTTTCTAGATCCTTTATCCTCATACGTTAAACAGTACTAGTCCTAACACAGATCGCTGGGGACCTCTACTATTTACTTCTTTTCTCTCTTTAAACCAATTTAGTTAAGAAACTTAGTGTAGGAATTTTAAGTAAACAATTCCTGTGCCTGCATAGGGAGAGTGGAAGGGAAATAAAACTAGCTCTGGAGATGCACATATTCCATTAAAGTTAAAACATGCCACATAAATCCAGTAAACTTATGAAAACTGCAGCATATAATAATGGCCGCAGCTTCACTAATCGTGTTTTCTGAAGACAAGGAACCTCAAGGCAAAAGCCTGGACGTTAACTACCTTAGGGCAGGTGTGCAGACACCAACAGTTGTCCCAGGAACAAGTTACACTCGACTGAATTTCCCAGGTTAGGGCAGTTTCTTTCTATTTAAGGGATTTCATCACAGAGTCAGAACGTTTCCCCTTCAGGGTAGCTGGAGTTTCTTCTGGGATAACATGTTCATATGTCCATGATCCATATTTTGCACTAAGCAAAGGACTGGATAAATTCAGCTTGGACAAAATGTTTGAGAAATATTTAAACAAATGCATTAAACTATACATTTTTTTTAAAGAAAGAGACACTAAATGGATCACGAAAGACCAGAAAACTATCTTACCTCCTCACTTTTAGCTTCTCCGTTTTCTGCAGGCAAGTTGTCCTTTGTCTGTTCTTGGTTAGTCTCCTCAATCTGTTTTCCTTTTGGTCCTTTTTTTCCCTTTGACTGAATTTTCTTGTCCTCAGATTTATTCTATAGTAAAAAGCATTTAAGAAAGATTGCATTAATTTAGTTATTAGGTAAATTAAAAAGAAGCAAAATGATGAAGTTGTCATATAACAAATTTGGGATTATATATTCAGTTAACAATTAGAGGAAGAAAAGCATCTCTACTTTAGAAAAAAAAATCTCTCTACTCCAGAAAGTTAGGAAAATAAGACAGAACAGCCACGTGGGGATCAGATCCCAGACCAGCTATAAAAGGCTGTATCTCACAGAAGGCATTATATACACACACACATATATATATATATGAATGTGTATATACATATACATAGCTTAATCTGTCTGTTTGTCCGTAACGTTCTTGGAGCACTCTGACTGGCAGTCTCAGTATCCAATCGCAATGTTTACATAGCAGTCTTACCTTTTTGGAGTTTGGGTTGAGTCCTAGGATCGAGGGTCTGCTGTTTGATTGGTGGAGCTCGCCCACCAATCCGGAGGCAGCACAAGGGAAGCAATGCCCTGCCCTTTTCCGAAGGGAGGGGGCAAGAAGCAGCTGGACCTGAATCGGAACTGCACCAGCCAGGTCCGGAGAACTTTGGGGCTGGACCCCTGAAGCGTATAAAAGGGGAGCATGCTCAGGAGACTAGGGAACAGATGATGAGTGACAGCAAGGAAAGAGGAGCTCCAGAGACGGCTATCCGTCAGGACCCTACCTGAGCTTCAGCAATGCGCAAATCAGCACATGGGGATTGGGCTCTAGGAGCTGCTTGAGGCAGCTTGAGCCTGTGAACCCAGCAAGCAGCTGGGCAGTCGGTGTGCAGATCAGCGCATGGAGAGCTGGCCCTGGGGGCCGCCTGGCCCCCACCTGGTATGCGGGTCGGCACATGGAGAACCACCCTGGAAGCAGCTCACAGCTGCTCACGCTAGCCCTGGCCCTAGGCTGAGCGACTGGAGCCCCAGAGTGTGGCTCCACTTTTAACTAATAGAGCCCCAGTGCCCAGAGCAGGGCCCAGGAAAGGAAAGAACCCCCAGTGTGAGACTGGGGAGTCGGAGCCTGCAAGGGCTTGGCTCCCGCAAGAGAGAGAGTGCCCTGGGTGCCCAGTGCAGGGTGCCAGGCCGTTGAGGAGAATCGAAGGCGCCGCTGGGGAGAGGTTCTTGTGGAACTGGCCACAAGGGGAAGAGCCTTGACTTCTCCAGAGAGGAAGTGTGAATTACTGGGAAGCGGACCCTGCAAGGGAAGCTGACATGGGTGAGGAGGGTCTGCTGCCTCCATTGCGGGAGGGGCAAGTCTACATCCCAGGGCCCTAAAGGGGAGGGGCTGAATGCACTCCCTATATTGAGGTTGTCATGTCAAGGGCTATATAGCTAGGGATAATCTTTAAGCGGGTTTATATGATTTATATGTTTTAATGTGTATATTATTGCCATTGTTATTTGTGAAGGTTTAAAGAAATACTATGGTTATGTTACTTGGGTTATATAGGTTAATATCCCTATGTGTTAACTGTGTTGTATAGGTTGTAAGTTATTTGGTATTATATGCAAATTGTGAAATTTTATATATAGTATTATATGTTAAGCCTTGTAAATATTCTGTTTTATATTAAGCGTCTGTATTTATTCTTGTAATAAATTGTACATAGTTAAGTATTTGGTTTTTGCCTAACTCTACAGAGAGGGGAGAAAGATGCTCTAGTAGCTGACCTCTTCCTCAGCACCCTGCCTGACCACCACCACTGTCATCAGAGGACAGGACACACCCCTTGGGTGTACCCAGCCTACACTTACTAAAACAACCAGAGTACTCCACACAGACAGACACAAACAAGATGGCCCAATGTTGGGGGTGGGGTGGAGAATGACAGAGGGGACAGACCAGTAGGGTGAAGCACCACTGGCCTCGCCCCGCCCCACCCTGCTCCTTCGAGGCCGC